TCCACAGATGGGATCACTGAGTCACAGAAAGGTGCATGGGAAGATCCCATGTGTGGCTTGGGCAGGTTAAACTTTCCTTTCCCCTTTCCCTTTTCCCTGGTCTGAGTGCCTCAAGCAGTAATGTATCCCCATGCCTAGGCTAGATGGAAGTGTCCTGCCGAATGCGGGGCTGGCAGATCTGGAGGTGCTGGTGTGCAGGGACACACAGTGACCAGCAAGCACTCTGCACGGACAGACCCCAGGGAGAGCCAGAAAAGGGAGATGTGTGTGATCCAGGAATCCACCTGGCACAAAGGAGAATTTGGAAGAGGCCAAAGCAGAACCTCTTGTCTGTTAATCTTTTGCTAATTACTTTAAAGGGCTGTAATGATCTCATTAAGCACAGGTGACAGGTATTTCTCCAGCCTCTTGCACTGTTTCCCCAGACTGTGAGCAGCCCTACAAGGCTGCCTGAAGATCCTACTGATGATGAATGCTGGGTCCCACCCACTGGTGCCCAAGACCAAACAGAAGAGATCAAAACAGAGGGCCCAGCTGAAGCCCCACAAGCTGCAATCCCCTCTGTGTTTGTGTAGCTCAGTATTTCCAAAGTGAGATCTGCAGGGTGTCCTGGGGCAGGGCACAGTGGGATGTGCTGTGGGATTCTGGTCCACCTGGTCCAGGAACCAGGTGGTGATGGAGTCCTCAGGGTGATGGCTGCGAGCAGACAGACCTGGCATTTCCACTGCCTGCCTCCTCCTCTATTTCTTTTTCTTCCCTCCCGCTGCTCCTGAGCAGAGGTTCAAATTGAATTTATATCTGTCACTGCAGATAGAAGTCCTGACCAAAGAGAGAATAGGCTTCAGTCAAAATGTTTTCCCATCAGATAGCTCGCGGACCTCGAAGAGTTGTTTCAGTTCAGGCAAGTTGACAAGCAATTCATTCCTAATTTTGCCTACTACAGTTACAGTACGAAGAGCTTTCCTTGTAGATTACATAATTATATTTTTCTTAACAGGGAGTACATTGCATTAGCAGGTTTAAATTATGCAAGCTTATTCTTTTGTCTTTTGTTATATTGTGTTCTATTGTACTGGTAAAACAATATGTGCTTTAATTAGCAAATATCTGTAAATAATTTACTTGCTTTTCATGCAGCAGAACAATGGAGCCAATTTTCACATACATCCACTGAGCATGTCTAGTGGGTTTCTTGCCAGAATCTTCCATTGTTCCGTATCTGTATCAATCTGCCCATCATTAGCAGCTAACGCTCAACAACTCTGACAGAAATCAAAGTTTCGGCCCCCAGGAGCACTCCTCAGCCCCCGAAACTCAGGCTGCACTTTGCAAAGGAAGATTAGAATATCTAGTAAATGAAAACAAACTATTTTATTATCTGCATAACCCTGGCACCTTCACGTAGAAACATGGACGCCTGCCAAGCACTAAGGTCACTGGATTAATGCCATCAAATGCCGATGTTCATCTGACCTCCTGACTTCTTTTTAGCTACAAATAAAAAGCTCAACTTGGTGTGATGCCACGCATCACGCACACATCCTGCCTCGGCAGGGTTAAATCTGGGCGTGAACCCACACGCACACACGCGCACACACACACACAAAGCAAAAAGCTCTTAAATCAAGAGTGGATGACTGTTCTGAGACTTAAGGCATTGTTATTTTGAATGCGAATGAAAGGGCCAGAACAAGCACTGCAAGAATATTTCAATTATGTATTTCCCAGAACTGCATCTCTGAGCAACTGATGCAAATATTGCTCCCATAACAGCAGAACTTCTTCCTGCACAGAGGCGTAGGGCGCGTGAATCAGAGGGTACTTCTATATTGTACGCATATTGCTGCAATATTATTAAAAATGCAGAATGTATGTATGTGTGGCTCTCCTGAGCAATACAGTAATTATGATTAAGGGACAAGCGGCACAAAAAGAGCCGATTTATCTTACTTGTGCTTAGGAATACTATTGTGTAACTAAGCAACTAAAGACAAAATATAGTCTAATTAATTCACTCCTATGCTTATTTAAAAGACACAATTAGAACATTTTTATTTTCCAGCCTGCGCACTATCTCAGCACGCTTGAGGGTGTACCATGTGAGGCCCATTACTCTCTGAAGACAAGAGCTTAATGTTCAGTGCCACAGATCGGACTGGGAACAGCCACTTCAGGGAGCAGAGTTTCCACAGCCCAAACTGGGAAATGAAGGGAGGAACACAGAAACGTGCTGGAAGGGCTCTGCCTCGAGCGGCCCATCGCACCCAGCTGTGGCTAATGGCGAGCAACATGTGCTCCTCCCTGACACTGCTGCCCTCTTTCCCTGCCAGCATACGCTGCTGGTGGTGAGAGGTAAAAATATGCACAGTGGATGTGCAGTTACCAAACCCGCAGTATTCTATGACAAATACCATTTCTCCAGCACCGCTATGACGGTGTGCCTGATTTTTCAAAGCTGAATTAATCCAAGCGAGTGTACAGCAGGGGCTGACGCTATGAGCATGATTTTCAGGGCACCCTTTAATGGCCGTGAGCCATGTCTGAGCCATGCCATCACTGCCGTGCTGACGGGGACAAGTGTGGGGCACACGCTGGGACCAGGCAGCTCCCACCCATGCAGTCCTGCTGAGCCCCTCACCACAGGGAGGGGGCTGAGGATGAACCTGCAGCACCTCTGCTCCCCGAGAGAATCTCTCCGGCAGTTCTAGATAGCATGCATGCATGGAGTGACTTCTGTTTTTTTCCCCCAATTAGTCTGAAAATGCAAAATACTGCGAGGGAAATAATTACAGGAAACCAGCTCTCTCCTCTCCTCCGCATGAGCAATGCTTGCTCATGTAAATTACTTGCATGAGTAAGGATTATTCGCAAGGCGAAAAGCATTGCATCAGAGCCCGGTTTGGGAGCGCAGCTGAGACCAACACGAGCTCGTAGTAAACTCGGGCCCTGATGAATGGGCGCCGGGCGGGCTCCCGCGGGCGGCCCAGCGGGGCGGGGGCAGCGGCAGTGACGGTGCGGGGCGACGCAGAGCGTCACATGGCACCGAATGCACCGGGCCAGCGCCGGCTGGGGCTTTTTAGGAACTGCGCCTCGCAGCCAACGCCGCCCTGGATTTCATGAGAGCCGGCTTCAATATGTATTTTCAGCCCTGCCTAATGAATGCCAACAGCTTTACAACACGACAACACAAAACGTGACGGGCGCTTCGCCCTGGAAGCTCTTCTGCCGGGGTCCATCCCTCTGCGGCCCCACTCTGCCCGCGGGGCAGGGGGCCGTGGGCCGGAGGGGCAGCCCCATCCCCGCACTGTGGGCCCCGGGCGGGACCCCGACCCCAAGCATCCTCGGGCAGCTCCCGGCCCCGGGCCTTAAAGCAGCGGCGAAGTTCCCACCGCGGCAGCTGAGCCCTCCGCTGGTCACTCCGCGGTGGGACGGGCATCGCGGTGGCACCCCGGCTACGGAGCTCCTACGGCCCCGCTCCGGGGCCGTGCCCAGTGCCGGCGGCGCCGGGGGCTGCGCTTAAATCCGGTGCAACGAAAGCGGCCTCTACGTCCACGCATCGCCGATGGGCTCCGGCGAGCGGTGCCATCGGACGTTCCCGGGAGGCAGCGGCCCCGCGCCTCACCGTGACCTCACGGCAGCGCACATCCCCCCCTCCCCAGCCCGCACCCTCCTCCCGCCCGGCCCGCTCGGGGCTGTCACACGGCGGGCAGCGGCCGTCCCCGTACGCACGGACGCGGGGAGCGACGGCGGCTCGCGGGGCGCTCGGTTGCCCCCTCCAGGCCCGGCCCGGCCCCGCCGCAGCGCTCCGCTCGCGGACGGGGGCGCGGAGCCGCGCAAAGTTTCTGCCCCTCTCCGCGTCCGGAGCGCGGCCCCGAGATCGCGGGACGCGGGTCCGCCCGGTGCCGCGCTCCGAGCGGGGAACCGTCCGCGCGGGGCTGAGCGGCGCGGGTGCCACCCGCCCGAGCCCGGCGGCACGCGCCGCGCGGCACCGGCGGCGTTCGCACGTACCAACGCGCACAGCCGCGCGCCGGGCGCTCCCGCACCGCCCCGCAGGGACCCATCCCGGGCCGCTTCCACCGCGCGGTGCGTGACAGCCGCGCGCCCCCCCGCCTCCCGCACACGCGCAGCCCCGGGCACCGCGCCCCGCGCCCGCCGTCGCCCCCCGTCCCGTCCCGTCCCGTCCCTCCGCCCCGCACGCAGCCCCGCACGCAGGTGGGCCGGGGCCGGCGCCGCGGTTCCCACCTCGCCGTGGTCGCTGGTCCGGCCCTGCGGGGTGTCCTCGGGGAGAAAGTAAAGTTTGGCGCTGGAGAGAAGTTGCCGGCTGGTGCGCTCCTCCCAGAGCAGCTGCAGCTCCGCGATGCAGGCGGGCTCCTCCGCGCGGCACCGCACGAAGAAGAAGTCGCCGAGGGAGAGGACCCGCGCCCGGCCGCCGCCGCGGCGCTGGAAGCGGAACGCCCGGTAGAAGACGTAGGGGCCGTGCGAGCCGCACGGGGCGCCGACCCACTGCGGGGAACAACAACACGGCGGCGGCATCAGCGCCGGCTCCGCGCCGCGCAGCGCCGCGC